ACTCTGAAGTCAGTTTAGTATATATGTCTTGTCTGTGATAATCTAGATTTTGAGTTACATAAATGTTCACTATTTCTTTTTTTTCAGAACCTCCAAAGCCAGCGAAAGATATATCGAGCAACAACGTTATAGAAACGAAACCAAACGCCCCAAAGAAGGAGGTCGAAATTAAGCCCACCAAAACGCAAACTCCTATCGAAAATAAGCCACCTGAGACAACTAAAAAGGTGTCATCGGTGGTTCAAGTCCAGTCCAATCCGTCCCCAACTAAGGTGGAGGTGAAATCATCGCCATCTGTGAAAATCAACGTGATAGAAGGCAAGCCCAGCACAAATGTTCCGAAGTCTCCCGTAGTCGTTAGCAAAGTGCAAGTAAGTGTAGGATGTCGAAATTTCATCTTGATTTATGCATTATTACTATAAACTTATAGTCTGAAGCAATATTCTGGATTAGGAATGATAAAAGTCAATGTAGTTGCTTATATTTGTTATAGTTTACTAGCAGTAGCAGCAGTAATAGTCTGAGTAAATTGGGGAAAAAAGAGAATTTTAAAGATATCTCGTTACTCGTTGCTTTTACAGCAAAAATAGTTATGTAACAAATTAAAGACCAGGAAATTGACTACAAAATAGATTGTAACTTCAAACTTTCAAACTTTAAATTTCATTATTTTTACAGTTAGATGGATATTTTTATTCTGACGTTGTTTTACTAAAAGCGCATTTCTTGTCTGTAGAACGCCGCCTTAAAATATAATTATTTTAAACATTCTAAAACTTAAAACAGAGTTTTTTCTGCCTCATTTCCATGACTTCGGAAGTAATACTACCCAAACATTTACGTTAGTAACGAGACAGGGCAATTTTAATTTTCTGCATAAGTTTCCACTTTAAAACTTAGTTCGATCTCATCCTTTTTTAGGTAGTCGAAGCTCCCGCCAGTAAACCATCACCCAACGTTATAACTAAAGTAGAAGTCGTCGGCGGTCCGACGAAATTACCGAAACACCATCCAATAATCGCCAGCAAGGTCGAGGTACACACCGGCCATAAGGAAGCTTCTAAAGTCGTCCATAGCGTCGTGCAAGTAAAGTCGGACGAAGAACCGGCCGTCGTCATAGGAAATAACATTGGTGAACCGGAATACGACTTCCTCTCCAGACAGCCGTCAGAGGTCGTCGAGGAAACGTACAAAGTTATAAACCTCAAGCCCAGTTCTAAGTTCCACTTGAAGCATCGTCCGTCAACCGACGTCAAAAAGGCGGCAACGAAGAGGTCGGACGCCGCCCATCCGACGGGGCTGGTTACGAAATTAGGAGGGACCGTGGTGAAGGACGGGGTAACCACTGTTCATGAGACTAGTGTTATTGGAACGTACATTTCAGGTGAGCATAATTGATTTATGGCTCTGTGTTCTGGAGTCACACGCGGAGCATCATTTGAAAATATTGATCAATTCAAATCAAATTTAATGCTAACACTATAATAATTTATTTACTTTAAACTAATAAATAAATGAAAATAAGTATACACTCTACATATCTATTTAACGCTGTTTTTTGGCATTATGGCCCACTAGGGATCAAAATTGCTCATAACTAATTATTCATTAATAAACAATGTTAGTTAGTAAGTTGTTAAGGTTGTTCATTGGCCACAGTTTACATTCTGTCAAAAAAGTATACGCAATTTATTTAAAAATTCCACGTAAAGTAAATTTAATTTTTTTATGGAAATTTTATTAGTTCGCCTTTGTGCACACTTTGTGTTCCGCGATTTTTGCTATGGACAATGCCTTGCCAAAAATCTTGTGCTACCAATGTAATTTTTTATGCTGATCGTTGAAACTGTTGGGAAAGAGGTATCTACGGTAATTCAGTTTTATCGGAAACTCAAGACCAATCATACAAAGCATTCTAATGTGGTCGAGAGGTCGTTGATGATTTACCTCGTTCCGGTCGTGCTTCAACGTCTTTAACTGCAGAAAACATTGACAAAACGAAGGAATACTTGCACAACTTCATTATAGTTTAAGAGAGAAGGCATATGAACTAAGCATGTCTCACGAATCAGTCGATATGTTGATTGTTTTCTTTGACGCTCGTGATGTTGTCCACACAGAATTTTCATTCCGGATGGAGAAACGTTCAACAAAGAATATTATCTGGGTGTTACGAGACGTTTAAGAGACAGTATCTGCCGCAAAAGTCCAGATTTATGGGAGAACAATTCTTGGATTTTTGCACCACGATAATGCACTATCATACAAAGTGATAATTGGGAATGGATTTTTGACCAAAAACTCGACGAATGTCATCGAGTCTCCTCCGTATTCACGGGATATGGCTCCTGCTGACTTTTCCTCTTTCCCAAACTCAAATTACTACTTCGTGGTACACGTTTCGAGTCGATAGAAACTTTACAACAAAAATCGCTGAAGGAGTTGAAGTTCATACCGGAAGATGCGTTTAAACGCGTTTGGAAAAGTATATTACTTCAATTGGAGCCTATTTTGAAGTAGACAAAATAAATTTTGATGATTAACTGAATATATGTTATTATGTTTTATTGACAACTTCCGGATACTTTTTTGACAGAATTTATATTTCATTAAACTTTACTGAATACTGAAACATAAAATCAGTGCACTCTCCATTTCTATGACAATATAGTGAATCTAAATTTATACCAATTTTTTTCATCTTTAAAAGTAGTTTCATCAATGTATTTTTCTAAGCAAATTCAGTTCTTTATCACTATTTTCCTATTTCTTCTTTTTAAATGCTTTCATTTCGTTGCTTCCATTTTTTTATTGTCTTTAAATTTCTTTAATAATACTAACAAGTTTAGCTTTTGATCACTTAGGATATGAAATTGCTCGTTCAGAAGCGACGATATGAATTTTGTTGATTTTTTTTTCAAATACATAATAAAAAATATTTGAGTAGATTCATTTAAAATGTTTCTAACTGCTTGGAGGATTTTGATGTAATTATATAAATAGTTTATTCTAATAGAATCAATCGCTAAAAACTTTCATCTTTTTAGAACTCCGTATAGGGCAATGCTTTGCTTAATTTTCCTTAATAGATTTATACCTTCCATTATATCCTAGTGTCACATAGTTTGGGCATTAACATTTACAAACCAATTATTCCATTATACTTTACCAAATCTTGAAAATTTATGCTGCAACGGAAATGAAGTCTGTGAACTTTTTTGTGCCATAATTTCTTTTCTCTTTTGTAGTAAGCAACTTCATGAGGGTCTTTTTCTGGCAAAAACTGTAATTCCCACCACTGATTTTATATTTAATTTTTATTGAACTTCTTAAATGGTTTAATGTCTCCGTCTCTATTCTCCAACATCTCATTATTTTTCAGTTCGTTTGCTTAAGTTATTTGAAAAGATGAATTGGTTTCAACTTTCGTTATTACCTGTGGTGGACCTGAAATAACACGAATATACTGTTTTCAATAACTTAAGACAAGATAATGGGAGTTTCCATTCAATAGAAAATAGTTACTGACAGAAATCATAAACTTAATATTTGATTAATAAACCGAACAATAATTCTTCACTTCTATTTCTGTTGTTCAAAGTGTCCCAAATCACTCCTACACGAAGTTCAAAATCTTTAATCGATATTTACCATCACCTCTCATATTTAGGAAAAATTTATCAAGGGATTTGAGTTTCAGTTGTGCAAAGTTTCCACATCCACGCAGAAATCACAAACTCTTCTCACTAGATCTAAATTTACTATTCTGCATTAGTTCTCTGTAAGAATACAATCAATATTTCCTTCATGTGAGCCATTCGTACTCTGAAGTCAGTTTAGAATGATCCTCTTCCACCCGTCTTAACTCCACTAAAATAAAAGTTAAAAACTGACCCTTGTCCATTTTTTTATTACCTTTTTGTCTTGTTACAACTGTAGTAATTGTCTTACTACCTGTAGTTATATATTATTACCTATCTTTGTATATAATATTTAGTTATTTGGATGAGATCAGCTAGGGTCTGGTAGCTAGGGAAATGGACTGACAAACAAAATAATGCTTTGTATTAAAAAATCAGAGTAACAAAAATTGTAAATATTTGTTGAAACATACCTTTCTCTGAAGAAAGAGTGTGGGGCGAAGTTTCTTCTTCACCCAGAATTTATGTACCCAAAAACTTTCGATTTAAAATATTTAACGAACTTCATAGAATTTCTCATCCGGGAATACGCGCAAGAAAGAAATTAATAAATTCAAGATATTTTTGGCCAAAAATGAATGCAGAGATCATTCTATGGACAAAAACTTGCATAGATTGTCAAAAAGCTAAAATTACAAGACATATTAAATCTCCAATTAGCTCTATTAATATACCGAAGGGTCGTTTTGAACACATTAATATTGATATTGTAGGCCCATTAACATCATCACAAAATTATCGTTATATTTTGACAGTGGTTGAAAGATTCACTAGATGGCCTGAAGCTTATCCTCTGTCTAATGTTAATATATAAACTATAGTAAAAAAATTGTTTAATGAATATTTTTGTCGTTTTGGTATACCCAATACTATAACAACAGATCAAGGATCAGTTTTTGAGTCAAAACTTTTTCAAGAATCTACAAGATATTTAGGTTCTCATCGGATTCATACTACTACTTACCATCCGCAAAGTAATGGACTAGTAGAAAGATTCCATAGAACACTTAAAGCTGCTCTGATAGCAAAATGCGAAACCAATAATTGGGTCAAAGAACTACCTATAGTTCTTTTAGAAATAAGAGCATCTATTAAAATTGATCTAGACTGCTCTTCAGCAGAACTAGTTTATGGTCAACCTTTAAGACTACCAGGTGAATTCTTTATCAATTCACAGCAGAGCATTGACACTTATCCTGTACTCACTGGTTTACGAGAAACTTTCGCTAATATTAAACCTACTACGACTAGTAATCATTCAAATAATAAACCTTTTACTTCCGCAGACTTGTTAACCTGTAAATACATATTTTTAAGGTCCGAAAAACTTAAAACTTGTTTATTACCGAAGTATGAAGGTCCTTACAAGATTATTAAGAGATTCGACAAAACATTAGTTATCTTCAAAGATAATAAAGAAATGGTGGTCAGCTTAGATAGAGTCAAGCCTGCATTTATGTTAGCAGAGAATTTAGAAAACACGTCATGTAGCAATTATCAAAAGAAAAAGATTACATTCGTTTTAAATTGATATTTTTTTTTTGAAGGAGGGAGTAGCTGTAGTGATTGTCTTACTACCTGTAGTTATATCTTATTACCTATCTTTGTATATAATATTTAGTTATTTGGATCAGGTCAGCTAGGGTCTGGTAACTAGGGAAATGGATTGACAAGCAAAATAATGCTTTGTATTAACAGAAAAAAATAAAACATAAAATATTTTAAGGCCTCATACTTTGCAAATTAATTTATATCAACAAGAACTGAAAACATACTATTTATGTTGTGCTAAACGTAAATCGGCAACATACAACATAACCAGAATATTAATATTTGGCAGTTCATTTAGCAATTGTGAGCACTGCCAAACAAGTTTTGAACAGATCTTGTTCGAATCTAAATAATTTCTTGCGGTCTGGTATCAAAGAAAATTTTAGTTTGCAGTACTGCAAGGAAGGGTACCAAATGAATGTGAAAAGCGACAAGCACACTGAGAAAAGCAGTTTTACTGGTGAATATCTATTTCTTTGATTCCAGGCAAATACGCCCAAGTTCTCCAGAGCACATCCCAAATCATCAACAACCAGAAGGGAAGGATCAACCCCTCCCCGAGCCTGAGAATATTGAAGACTGCCGCCCCCACACTGGGCAAGGGCAACAAGCACCACCGCCACCTCGAGCCGACGCCTGCGGGCGCCATCAACCAGGAGGCCTCCGTGCAGGCGGACGCGCACCAGAACTCCATCAAGTCCACGAGGAAGCCCAGCGGGCCCGGCAGCTCTTTCAAGCGTTTCAAGAACAGACATAAAGAACCAGACGTCGTGGAGGAAATCAAGGAACCGGAAGCGGCCGCGCCCCAGCCCAGTTATAAGAAATCACAGAAAAATAGGAACCAGCAGACGCAGGGCGGCCGCAACGCCAAGTAAGTAACTCGTGTGAGGTGATTATTTTTAATTGGTGCCGTTTCGATGCGAACTCGAGCCGGTATAATTAAAAGAAAACTGAACTGGAAAGAGAAAACGGGTTCTTTCCCCATTATGTAATTGTTATGGCCGAAAATACATCGTTTAATTATTGCCAATTAAACGGCGAGCCGATATTAAAAGCATAATTTAACGGTTGCTGATTTTGCTTTTTTCCTTCTACGTTTCAGACTGCACAGAGTTCAGAAGTGGCTTTGTTCGAGAAACAGCCGCTTCATACGTTTTTAGTAAAGAGCACCGTAAAAAATTAAAAATTATACCTACTAGGTGTAACGTACAGGGTGATTCACTATATTTTGACCCCCCCTTTAACCTTTTTGTTTTAAGATATATAAAAAATGTGAAATATAAAAGATGCACGAGTTTTTATGAATTTTTCGAAAATGATAGTAGAAAAACGAATGAAGTCCAAACAAAATGGCCGCGAATGTTAACTTTGTTAAGTTAAATGGAACACCCTGTATATTTTTACATATTTGGATAGAACGTTCTCTGTTGAGCATAGTCATGTAGGGTCTGTTGGGGCCATCTCTAACAATAAGCGAGATACTATTAAAATACGAAAAGAAGATTTTTTATTAAGAAAATAAGACATCTTGTAATTGTTAAATCTCTTTCAGCCATTTCTGCCTTATTCCAATTACGTAAGGATTTACAGATTTAGTTATTCGCGATAATTTTTAAGATGCAAGCGCACCAAGCGGCGAAAGCAGTAAGCTCCGAAACAAGGTAATTTTGACATTGCCGTTCGCGTTTACACATTCATTTGAACAACATTTGTCTTATTTGCCATTATTATTAGTAATTTTGTTATCAAACTGCGGTTATTTCACTTTTGTATTATTTTATAGGTTTCAAATATTTCATAAATAAATTTTAAGGCAAGTATTTATGTCTACTTTATTTGTCTCTAGCATTACAATGTAATGTACATTTTATTAAGTTATAACTATGAACTTATCCGTTGTGGAATACATTTCCTATTTACATATTATATGCTAACGAAAACTCTCGTTGTATATTAGAAGGAGAGGCAGTTTTTAAGGCTGATCATTTGGTACTATATGGGACAATTGAGCAAAGTTAATTTAAATTTAGAAATTTATATTATGTCTGCAGATTAGTGCCCTTACTTACTAACAACCCTCATGAAATTCAGGGAGTATTATCTATCGGCAATAATATTTTGAAAATTTCTTCAATGGTTTGATGAAAACTTAATTCTGGATTTTTCTTGGAGCATGAAGAGCAACCTTGAACTGAACAATAATAGTTTGACAGTTTCTTCTTTCTACCCATAATTGTTGAAATTTTTCTCACTATTTTCTTAAAATAGTGAAGAAGTAAATAAAACAACAGTGTTCAAGAAACGAACACTAAATACAGTTTTAAATAAAATATAAAACGAAATGTCACACACAGAAGAAATATTTACCTTGTTTCGCTAGTATCACTTGTCACCGCCAGAGGGCGAGCTTTTAGCTGCATTCGCGAATAATGTATTTTGACAGTTCGGACATTGATATGGTCCAAAATCCGTATAGGTACTTTAACTAAATCTCACTAATTGGGCCGTGAGAGGCCTAATTACTCATGGACAATGTTATATGGTAGGCCGTGACAGTGACAGGTAATGTCATGACAACATTGTTATTGTTTGACAGTTATTATTTAATTAAAATGGGTTACCCAGAAGTAGAAAATTGAAATATTATAGGAATTAAAATAGAGCAAAGTTCTCCATACTCTATTTTAATTCTAATTAACTTTCTACTCCTGTGTCACCTATTTTAATTAAATAATAATACTAACTGTCAATCAATAACAATATTGTCAAGACCTTACTACTTGTCACTGTCACGACCTACCATATAATGTCCATGAGTAATTAGACCTCTCACGGCCTAATTAGTGAGATTTCGTTACATTATCTATACGCATTTTGGACCGTATCAATGTCCGATATATCAAAATATATTTTAACTAAATTTGTAAATCCTTACGTAATTGGACAAAAGGCAGAAATGCCTGAAAAAGGCCTAACAATTACAAGAAATCTTATTTTCTTAATAAAAAAAACAAACTTTTCATTTTTTAATATTATCTCGCTTGTTGTTAGAGATGAATCCAACAAACCCTATATGACTATACTCGACAGGGAACGTTCTATCCAAATATATAAAAATATACAGGGTGTTCCATTTAACTTAACAAAGTTAACATCCGCGGCCATTTTATTTGGAGTTCATTTGTTTTTCTACTATCATTTTCGAAAAATTCATTAAAAACTCGTGCAACTTTTATATTTCACACTTTTTTATAACTCTTAAAACAAAAAAGTTAAAGGGGGGGGGTCAAAATATAGTGAATCACCCTGTACAGGTTGGGAATAAATTAAACGGTGGACTTTTTGGTTTAAAAAATAATTTTTTCTCATATGAAGTTATGCTCTACGGATTTTCTTTTCCAAGCTACAGGGCGCTAAAAAGTTTTAAAAAATTTAGTTTTTCTCTTTTCGAACATTATAAGATAATGAAACAAAATTTTGGCCTTAGCTTAATTTGATAATCCCCTAGTAATAGGAAAAATATTGGCTTTGTAAGTTACTCAGTGGCGTGCGTACGGATTGTACCGTAAGATTTTTCGAAGAAAATTATGGTATGCTACTGGTAAAAACATTTTTTTAATATTTTTTTATTATCCACTTTTTATTTTAAACAAAATTACCCCCTTGCGTTTTATTTCTGTCTCTCGTAATTTTCGCGTAAATAAAACTTTAGTCAATACCATTTTTTCCCACTGATAACATAGGAATATAAAAATAACAAAAACATTATGAAGTATGCTTTGACTCAGCCATCAAACATGGTCAAACAGGCATTGAAAATAGATTTTTGCATTGAAAATTAAATTAAAAAACTATTTTTTTTTTAATTTCTTAGCTCCCTGTAGCTTGGAAAAGAAAACCCGAGCATAATTTTGTATAACAAATATTTATTTTTTAAAATAAAAAATCCAACGTATAATTTATCCCCAACCTTTACCTTACACCCTGCTGGATCATATTGAATAAGTTGTAGTTAATAATCTAATCGCACATTTCAAATTTAGTCATTTTGTTAATTAAATACCGTAAAAGTTAAAGGTTTTTTATAAGACAAAATATAATAATTTTTTCCATTGTTAACAATTAGATACTTACTCAGCCAAATGGAATAAATTCAATAATAAATAAATGGGGGCATGTTCGAAAAAACGCTCGGACACTTCGATTGGTATTTTTAGTTGCTCATTTTTTTCAAAAAAAACGTTTTATACAGGGTGGGTCATGTAACAGTGGTTAATACCAACTTTCTTAAATTAATTAAATTGCTTAATTGCTTAATTTTAAATACAACACCCTGTATATTATTCTATTTTTGGATTGTACAGAAAATTCTAGACATATTTCATGTACAGTGTCCTATACATACCTTCAACTCTTTCGGAAATATGAAGTGTTTTCAGATTTATTACAAAAATTAACATTAAAAAAAGAAAATTATTTAATTACAGAAATTCGCTATAACACACTCAAAAACTAATAGGTAAACATTAATGTCGATGTAGGAGATGTTCAAAATCTTAAACAGAAATTTCTTCAACATTTTAAGCGTGACCGATTTAATCTTAAGAGTTATTCGTCTTCTTAAGTCAGTGAAGTCGAGGGGATTAGTTTTGTATACAATGCTTTTGACATATCCCCATAAGAAGAAGTCTAATGGTGTCAGATCAAGGGATCGTGCTGGCCATTCTATCGATCCTCGTCTCCCTATCCACCGATTTGGAAATATTCGATTGAGGTACTGCCGGACATTGATTTGGTAATGGCGGTGCTCCATTTTGCTAGAACTATATCATATTCGCTGGAACTTGTGGGTTTGCTGGATCAGGATATAAGTTTGTCAAAGTTGGAACGACATTACTTTGGAGCAGTGCTAAATAATTATCGCTAATAAAATCGCTATCAATGAAAAAGGTACCTATGCTATGGTCTTCAACAATTCCTGCCCAAGCATTAACCATTTCAGGGTATTTTGTATGTTCTTCTGTAATCCCGTGAGGATTTTCATTAGACCCATAGCGGCAATTTTGACGTTTAGCATGACTGTGAAGTGTAAAGGAGCATTCATCAGTAAACAAAACATGTTCTAATTGGATCACATTGATTTCTGACATTGCCATCATTTGTTCACAAAAATATGTTCTATCAAAATCGTCTTCCATGACCTCCTGAGTTGGTTTCATTTTATAGGGATGCATTTTTTTTTCTTTTAATATTCGAATAATCGATAGACGGCTAACATCGAACATTGGGCCTGCTTTTCGACTAGAATTATGGGTTTTCCTCAAACTCAAGCAGAATATCCAATTTGGTGTCATTATTTATTGCATTAGCAACTGCTTTTTTATCTGCCTTACATGTCCAAGCTCGCGAAACTGCTTTTCTATTTTACTAATTGTCCCTTGGGATATAGGCGGCAAATTTGGAAATCTTTCATGAAATAAGCAAGCTTGCATTTGTGTCCGTGTGTTATCTCCGTAACCAATCATCTGTAGAATTCTTATTTTGTGCATTTCTGTTAAATGAACCATTTTTCTGATATGCAGTTAACGAAATTCAAGCGACTATAACACTGACAACTACTGTCATGTAGGCAGACAACACCTTGCTAAGGCCATGCGTTTTAAACAAAAGTAAAGAAAACTATTTATATACATTTTATTTCATATCAGTAAAAAGGAACGCTGAAATAGTTTTTGCTTACGTTCTCATTATCAAGATCTAAATGGGAAATAAGTATTGAGTGTGTTGTAGCGAATTTCTGTAATCAAATAATTTTTAATGTTAATTTTTGCAATAAATCTGAAAACACTTTCCGAAACAGTTGAAGATAGGTATAGGGCATTGTACATGAAATATGTCTAGAATTTTCTGAAGAATCCAAAAATTGAATAATATATAGGGTGTTGCATTGAAAATAAGAAAGTTGGTATTGACCACCGTTACATGACACACACTGTATAGAAAGTTTTTGTTGGAAAAAATTCGCAACTAAAAATACCAATCGACGTGTCCGAGCATAGGCATATGGCACGCACTTATTTCTTGGCAATTCTATGATATATTTGCTTATAATTATATTTTTAATATTTTGCAATTCACAGTTTGGGTCCTATCTTAGTAATTTATCTCAATTTGTGGCATGAAAGTTATTTTATTTCTCTTAATATCTAGTTAGTTTTTATATACACGAGGTCTTTAACCTTTTCTGCTATTACAGAGATATTTTTTATACTATTGACATTATCAGAGACGTGAAAAAATCTTGTATTTAGTGGAACACTTTGTATATTAAAAGACACCTTTTTTTTCTATGCACTTGTGAAGTCTGTGCAACCTGAAGAAGTAGTAGCGGTTTGAGTAAAAGTATGCTTTTTATTGTACTGTTTATAATAAATTTTAAAAATAATTACAAGATCTATCTGAACTAAGATAATCGAATATCAGTAATTATTTTGATTAAAGTGATATCAAAAATGGAACATTTCCTGTATATTACTTAATTTTTTACACTACCTACAAGTACATGTTTTCCAAAATTGGAGCTTACTCTAACTTTAGAATTATTTCTCTAGACTTATAATACCATTTATATCCGTTACCTAAGAAAACACCTTGAGCAAATTTCAAGCACTCTATGTATTGTTGACTTTTAGTTTAGTATACTCGTAGCACACAAACTAGTTGTAGTCCTGGTAAATTTACTCAGAAATTGAAAACACGTATAGAATTAGATATAACGATACAATATGTCCAGGTAAAATTCAGGAAGAGGTGACATAAACGTCTCTGTCGTTTTAATAAATTTTTATCTTGATAGGGAGAGATTTTTCTCTTTTGTGACAGTAGATTGGTATTTGGAGAACAAACTTTTTTAATTTGTCAATTTTTTTAAGCTTTCTTAAAAAACCAGGTTAGTACACTCATAAACATTTTACATATTAGATACATGTTTCTGAGTAAATAGCAAGGATTCATCACATGGCTATATTCAGTTCTGTAGGGTGGGAAGTATCAAGGTTTTGAAAACGGAATATCTTCTATAGTTTAGTTAGCAATATTTTCTTTTCTTTTGTACAAAGTAGTTTGGACTTGGATATCTATAGAATTAGTCTGTAAATACTAACACTTATCTTGTAAATATGATTTTTTTAATATGGAGAACCGAAGGTAATTTGGGTTAAAGCAGATAAACCATGAGGATGTCGTAAGTAATAAGAAATAGCAAATTTGTTAAATTTATGCAATTTGCCTCTAATTTTCTTGTAATTTTCTTATATCACTAGATAAATGTAAAAAATATGTTTTAAATGACTTCAGTTGTCGGTAAATGTGGTCTAAAGATTAAACATCCATCCAGGATATTTTACAAAATTATTCCTCGAATGATGCACCGAAGGGGATAAGATAACTTAACAGGATAATATTCGTGAGATAAGAATTTGAACCAGTCTACCTGCACGTAAGAGATATGCTACATAAATAAATCAAAACGTCTGTTAGACTTCTATTCCTCATAATTTTCATTATTACGACAATTATCAATCGCCTTGTAATAAAAGTACCAGTGAAATAATTTCCTCTGGTGGAATAATAAACAGGAGGAAGATTTTTCTTTTTGGCGATTTGTAAAAGCCGACTCGATTTGATATAATAATTTAAAATAGCAGGGCTTTTGAGAAAAAAATTAAATAAAAATTAAAAATAAGAAATGTTTGCACAAACAATACTAGGACATAAATATATGTACAGGGTGATCAATTTAACTGGAGAAATGAGTTTTTCTGAAAAACGGCCGAAAAAATTAATTATTTTAGAAACTATTTCATTTTTGCTTACTTTTACTAGAAGTTAGGGCAGAAATACAGAAATTATCTTTACTTATCTCTTTTTTTCCAGCAACATACATCTTTTAATATGTCACTATAAAGAGCCCTTAATTTTGAATATTTTTCCTATATAACATTTTTTATGTCCCCATTATTTAAAAAGTTGTTGTCGATTCCCAAATCGTACTTTGTTAATAAGATACCACCATAAAACTATATAAACCTATTAAACGACATTAAATAATGGGGACATAAAAAAATGTTATATAGGAAAAATATTCAAAATTAAGGGCTTTTTATAGTGACATATTAAAAAATGTATGTTGCGGGAAAAAAAATTTTGAAGCGCCGCGACGCCTAGCGTCGTAAAGATAATTTCTGTATTTCTGCCCTAACTTCTAGTAAACGTAAGCAAAAATGAAATAGTTTCTAAAATAATTTATTTTTCTCGGCCGTTTCCCAGAAAAACTCATTTCTTCGGTTAAATCGATCACCCTGTACAGGACACTGCAACATTCCATCGACAAAACTGTACAGGTGATTCTCTGATAAAAAGTACGATATAAAGTTTATGTGCTATTTGTTTTACAGATGTCATTTAAGTTAAAACTATATTTTTACCAATTTCATAAATTTAGCAAACAAAATATATTAAAAAATGTGATCATGTTGAGGATACAAAAAACTCACGATACCAAAAAATTTAAGGTTAAAACAGGGAAGTAGTCTTTTGCTAAAAGAACTTTTGAATCTAATGAATTCCAAAGAAACAATAAAACAAATACTTACGTACAATAAATGAGAAATATATTAAAAAAAACAATACAATTCTGTCACCATTTAACTCAAAAAGAAGAAACGTCTACGGACCTACGTTTAACCTAACTTTAACAGATGTTAGTTTCAATTAGTAATTAATTCGATTCATTAAAAAGATCTGAAACTAATAATATATTTTCATGTTTATACAGTGTGCACAATGTTGTATTGATAAATTTAATTTTCGGCATTGCTATTTTAGAAAAACAATGTATATATGATACGTGAACAAGTTCGCAAATGACTTCAAAATGAGAAACTGAAAGTAGCTTTGGTGGACACTTCAATAAAATTCATACGTGCCTTAATTGTGTTTTTTATTTTTTTATGCAGTCCATTCGAAGAAATCTTGACATTTCTGTATCTTTTACGTACAGTTTTAAACAAATTCATCACTTTCATACGAAATTGTGTTCCACTTTTTGTTTGAGAAATGAAAAATAATATTGTACACATTTTCTTAAGAAAAAACGTACAGTTTATTTGAACTGCAAGTAATACCAAAATTTACGTTTAGTAAGTTTAGTAAACCCAATTTTTAAAATACATACACTTAAAATACCCTGTATAAACCCAATAATTCATTATGTTGAGCTGGTTTAAATTAAAGAGTAGATGTAAGAAGACATGGTCTTTGTACCGAGTAATAAAAAAATATTCGCAGTCATTACATTGTTAATGTAAAGATAGAAGACAGGCATAGTTCCAGTAACTATTCACCAATAGTATACAATAATATAGACTGTTTCCAAATAAAGTGAAAAAGTGATGAAGAATTTTAACTGGATTTATTTAGACTTATTAAAGGATGAAACAAGTGAATGGTTAATTTCTTTGTTTATTTGTAAGTATACTCGTAGCCAAGTAACAGTGACCTTCTATAACTATCTTTACATCAAGAACACTAGATATCAGCCAGTTTTTTGCACTCTTTACAAAGAGGCCATTTTTCCTCACAAATGTTAATTCAAAACGGCTAAACATTGTTACTGGTTTGTCCAAATAACTATTTTAAAAATTGAATTTACTTTATTGAATTGAATCTTACAGATTTGGTATTAGTAAATGAGGTTACGTGGTTTTCAAATGAGCTATCAGTTTTTTCCTTAAAAAATGGTAGAACACATTTATTTCACAGATTTTCAGAAGAGTCATTCTATACAAAGATACAGACGTGTCAGATCTTCTTCCAAACACACGTATGTAGATAGCATGGCATGATATTTCGCTATTTATATCTGTATACAATTTCTAGTATCGGGTAGCATGCGTACTATTATTTTCAAACGATATGTCTCAATGTTTGCGTAGATAAGTGAATATGTGCATGCACTATTAAAAACTGCATGTGGTCGACATTATGCACTAACACTTGTAAATAAATACAGACACAACACATCCTCACAAAGTCCTCAAAAACCTCGCCGGAATAGAAACAGAAAAACTACCACTACTACTACTACCCCATCTGTACACAGCGAGGAAACGACGCCAGCGCCCTCTGGCAAGCGCTTTTCAGGCAGGAAGAACAAGCAAAGCAGGGCGTCTACCGTAAGTCCGGAAAATAACAGCGCTAACACCAACAACAACAGCAACAACAACAATAATAACAACAATGGCGGCTTCAGCAGGAGAGGATTCAAACCGAAAGTCCAGGCAACTTCAGTGGAGCAAGCTGGCCAGGCTGCTTCTAGTAGTCTGTACAAGTTTAAACTGAACAGGTTCGTTTGCTTCAATCTATCAGTTTTGTAGACTAGAGAAACTTTAATTTAAGAATTCGCTTTTTAAATGAGCGGAAAAGTCAATCTCAAACTCGATTTGTTAAAATATTAAATAGTTTGTCAGCAATATATGAATGTAACAGAGTAAGATTATATTACTCAGCTATTGTTAAAAAGTATTTCAGTAGATATAAAACACTTTGACAGACTCCAGATGCGTGCGTCATGGAATTATTTTGGGTACTTACATAAATAGCTATATAATTAATTTTTCTGTCACTAACAATGATTGAGTTTCCAGTCTAAAGGCGCGTCCGCATGTGCGATTATCTTAAAACTTTAGCAAGTACTCAATTATGACGTAAACCGAGCGTCCAATTGTCAATCATTTTTACTCCCCTAAACTTCTGCAATCTAGTGAATGATTACAACAATTAAAAATAAAAACTTCCTTTTTTGTATATTATACAGGGCGTTTCAGTTCGGGTGAATCAAACTTTAACCACAAATAGAACTCAATAAATTCAGAATTACCTTATAAAGCAAGGGTCTAAGTCTCACCGTTTTCACTGTACAGGGTCGTATTGGTCGGTTTTTAAAATCATATTAAGTATTTATTAAATCTCTAGTATGCTCATAACAAATTGATTAAAATTTGATGTAGTAATAGTAATTTATACACGTACATAATTTACTGTAAAATTTACAAATTTCTGTAGATCAGTGGCGTAGGAATGAGTAGTAATGCGGGTTTTTTTATTCCAACTTCTACGCCAATGACCAGATTAAGATTTCCTGGACACTTTTACATAAAACTACTACTTGTTAAATATAGTGTACCATTTTACCGAAAATTTCAGTTGAATGGGAGACTGTTCTTCTGGTCTAAGAAATTTAGTTTCTTAAGGGTAGGAAATAAATTTTAAATTAATATTATTATAATGTCACGTTTTAACTTCATTCAAAACAATATTATGTTTATGAGTTCAGAAAGGAGAGAGGGCGAATACCCTCGGAATTCATCACATTACGAATATAATAAATAAAACAGAAGGGATTATATTTAGAATTTACTAATCGTTTCGTCGATGTAGACAAATTATTTAATATTGTTTTGAATTCTAAGTTAATACATGACATAATAATATTAATTTAAAATTTATTTCCTGTCCTTAAGAAACTAAATTTCTTACCAGAAGAACAGTCTAAAATTTTTGGTAAAACGATACACTATACCGATTTTCAATAAGTATACCTTTTTATATAAAATTGTCCACGAAATCTAAAAATGAATTCCAAATGATTATTAGGTCATTGGCGGAGAAGTTGGGGTAAAAAAACCGCTTTACTACCAACTACGCCACTGACCTACAAAAATTTTGAAATTTTACAGTAAATTATATAAAAGATTTCATAAATAATATTATTTTAAAAACCGACCAATACGGCCCTGTACAGTGAAAACGGTGAGTCCTTGCTTTATAAGACAATTCTGAATTAGTTATTGAGTTCTATTTGTGGTTAAAGTTTGATTCACTCGAATTGAAACACCCTGTATACCATATTTTTCTCTGCACATTTAGATAGTTTTTTGCTACCTGTGAAAAAATTAAAAAATCGATTAGTAAACCCTTGCGACAAAAGGATTAGTGAAAAGTCATTTTATGCCTAATCAAATGAGCTATTCTGGTTTTGAAATCAAGAACAAATTGATTTCAAAACATTAACTTGCTTGATAGAGAGATAGGGATTTTTTAAACGCTTTTATTCCGTGAATAAATTCTTAAAAATAACCACTCACTGATTATTTTTGCCCCAGATTAATTAATTCAACTAATTCAATTTAATTCAATTAAATCAATTAGATTTCAATTAATTCAATCAATTTTAATTGAATTAATTTTTTAATTTTTTTCTAGGTCACAAATACTCAAATATACGGAGAAAAGACTAAAATTATCCCATAAATAAATAACTTCAGACAATATATTGCGGTATATCCAACATGTGGATCTGCCTTTAAAATTAACGATTATTTCTAGAGTATATATTTCAATTTTTTCATTCAATAAAGCAATAAGGCATAGGACTAGACACTGACAGATGAAACGTCTAAAATATTTTTAACTATTTTTAATAATATAACAGTTGGTATTTTGGGAGAAAAACCAATGTCATTATAAATTCGTGATTTAAAAATCGAAGAATTAAAAAACAAGGAATAACTAAATTATTGCCAGACTTTTAAAAAGTTACATTGACACTGAATATACTCCTTTGAAAGGACGTATTAAAAAATTGCGTATGTTTTACTTAAAGGTAATAAATATATTTTCTTAATTCCTCAAAAAAGTTATATATTTCTTTCAGTTTAATTGCTTTTATCTAATTCATTTTGAATATTCTCTAATCTTTCATAGAATATTATTTGAATTTGAAACACAAAATTGCACTAAAAAATTTATTTCGGAATATATTCATTGTTTTAATATAGATAGTTATTAGAGTAATTGAAAAAGTTTTGTTCATCTCATTGTAAATTTTAATATTTTTGTGATTCTACATAAAGAGTTTAGGTAATTATATCAAGTCCAATGAAAAGTAGCATTCGGTACTTTACAAGATTTTACGTTTTAGCTTCTTTTATGTTTCTAACATATTTTACAATAAATTAAATTTTTTACTTTTTCAGAAATCACACAATAAATACAAAACATTCACTATACAAAGGCGAAGACATACTTTTACGTGCATATAATTGTACAGTTCTTTTTACAACACTCAAAGTTGCTATTATGAAGCATGTTCCCACTTGTGTCATGAATAGCATGTTGTCATTTCTTTTTTTCCCTCCTTTTCTATGTAAATGTAATCATATCTTTCTATGGTTGATGTCAGGCATGCAATTAAGTTCGTTTTAATTAAAAGGAGATATTTTCATTTACCTTCCATACGGTTTCCAAGGATAACGATCCTGTTTTCTCTAAACTTGTAATAAATAATATATTATTGTTTCTGTACCATTAAGAACAGAGACGTACTAGGGAAACTATCCGCAGCAACCTTTAAAATTATGCGTATTTTATATGCAGAATGTTAAAAGAAAATTACGTCAACCCCTTAACCATAGATTCTTTAGGAAAAAATAATAGGGCTTCACTTACGTGGTTCAAAATTATCTTTTTTATGCCCAGCGCTAGGTTTCATTCCTGGAATATTAGAGTATTTTAAGGTGTCGACTTTGGCAAGAGTTTCGATCTTAATCTACTAGCTCGAAATTCAGGGGTTAGATGAATTCGAAAATATTAAATTAGTTTAACATATAGAAATCAACATTATCCAACTTATATCTTATCCAGAGGTATTCTATAATATAAAAAGAAAATAATATCTGAGCTACATAGATTCTGCTAAGATTGCCATGCACAGTAAGTCAATTATTCCTTACTAATTCCTACTACTGTTAAATGTAATCAATAAATGTTAAGCAGTATTTTAATTAATGAAATATTTATATTTACGTCTGTTGAGACTGTCCAAAATTTTATCCATCGACTCATAAACAGATTGCGGCACATTTGGTACAGTTTTGGCGAACCAAGACAAATGTTCTTTCTGCACTCATAAAATGGCAGTAGTCTAGCCGTAATAGACTCACAGAAGTCACCAACAGTTCCTATTGTAGCTGCGGCAATAATATCAAATACCTAATAAAAATAAAGTTGTAAACACGTATTTCTGCAAGTTTTAAAATCGTTTTGTATTAAGCGGAGGGTCAATTATGACCTAAATTAATACATTTTTTCTAACAAATACTGAGTCTAAATCGCATCATTTCGGTGTTATTTGATAGTGGAGTACTCGTATAATTTCTATTATTACATTATTTGTTAACGATGAAACGATTTAAAAAAAAGCGTTTTATCGCAGATAATATAGCTTATCGCTTAAACTGTCTGTGATTTTATTCAAAAACGGGCAGATAAAATCTAAACAGCGCTTTTTTAATGCAAAAGATAAGAGGCTGAAAAAACAAGAATTTTTATATTTCATTAGCGGCATATCAATTTTTGTTTAATTTTTCTTTGATACTCATAAAAATGAAAATTTTTAAAATAAATTCAAATTTTAATATTTGGAAAACATTTAGAAATAATACTTTTTATGGTAGAAATGAAATCGGTTGTTAAAAATTTCAAATAAAACGGAACAGATCTTTTTTCTTTTAAGTAGAACTGTGAAAAAATGCCTCATAGAACATTCAAAATACCCAGTGGTGTTTCCTAGTATCAAATATTCTTAGAAACATTTGCCCAAATATGATATTTTTCAAAAATTTTAACGCCCTACATCTCGGAAAAGTAATATTCTTAAAATTTTTTACTCATATCTTCAAAATCCTACGTTATAACAAAGTACCATTATTTTCATTATGGGCTATTGATTATGTCATATGGTATGGAACTACAACGTTGATGGGTTTTTATTGCATGAATCGTTCAAATGATTATTTAGAATGAAAAAACCGCGGAGTGCTATTAAATTAGAGGGTGGAAATTGGAGATACGGGTGAAAATGCAACCCTTACGGTTTTTTGAGTATATCTCGAAAACGAAGCAAAATTTGAGGGTATTGCATAGGAAAAATTTTGGTGATAATGAGATTTTCTATCGAAATAGCTTATTTAAAAAATTTTTAAAATTTATTTACTGCAAAAAATTTAAAAAAAAAAGTGCAAAAAAATAATTTTTTTGTTTTGTTTTACTTTTATGCAAATAACTTTTGTCTCAGCAGAGATAGGTATAAGCATTGCTTCATAGAAAAAAAAAGTATATAAAATTTCCTACAAAATGATGGGTTATAAAAGTTATGGTTATACTACACAAAAGCTGTTATTTCATTCATTTAACTTGAAAACGGTGCACTTTAGCGACATGTAGCTAGAACACATTATGTGAAGAATTAAGTACTCTATCACAGTAATCCGAAATATGCGAGGAGAAAAAAAGGATACGAGCGAAAATTATTAATTTCCGTAACATAATATTTCTTCCTTACTCGTATATTCTGTATACGAGATTTTTTCTTCAGACAGCTTATCAGAGCAAGTAAATGTGTAGGGCTACAGCATAGAAATAGAATAATATGTCTGAATTAGTTTGTGCTTCCAGTTTTTCCGCAAGATTTTTCATACGGCTAATATTTACACACACAATCATACGTAACGCAGACAGATGCAAACACATATTCCTGACACGTTTCATACACCACCATGGCATACTTAAAGCATAGAGTAAATTTTGGTATTATACTTTGTTTTTTATATACAATTACAGGAGACAAAATATACCAAGTAAGTATTAAGCTGTATTGTAGATTATACATATATGCATGTGGTATTATAAATAGTTTTTAAATTAAAATACATACATCATACACCACTTGTGCTGTAATGCAAATAACGACTAGAATGCTACCACTTCAAGATTAATGAAGCGAACATAACTCATGCACATACGTATGTCATAGACGTATAAAGAGTATTTTAAAAATAGCTTCTCATGATTAAAAGGCATTTTTCATGGAATTTACAGTTATTGTTTAGGAACATTCTAAAATGTCTATGTATTGATTCTTAATTTCTCTTAAACTTTCAGAAATTTTTTCTCCCTTCTGTGAATTACCAAAATGTACAGGTATAGGCATTACTTTACCCTTTTACCTTTTTTTCTCATTCGTACTTAAATAAAAAAAATTGTAGGTGTACCAAAACTGTACTGTATCTTTTTTAATAGTAACACTCTGTATATTTGTACATATTTGAATAAAATATTTCTCATAATTATTTCTAATAATAAACTGTCATAAACATGTGTTAGACAAAGACTTGTCTATGTACATAGCAACAAGCAATATTAACTTCTTTATTATGCATTGAGCATACGACATACTTTATTTGCTATATCTCCCTTACTATTAAATACACCTATCAAATTATGTGTTGCTGTAAGAATTAAAGATCTGCTCTATCAGAATATACAGGGTGTTCCTTTAGAGTATTTATTTGTATCTCTGAAAGGCAACATTTAGTTATTTTTTTAAGCATTGCTTTGAAATCGTAAAAAAATTCGCATATTTTTTTTTATCCAAATAATGTAAGGTAGATAAGAGGGAAAGAAAATATCATGAATATCCTTAGACATGCAGATTTTCATCGACAATACCAACTAGCTGAAATTTATATTTTGACAATTTTAATGCATAATTAAGAATCTTCTGTTTCATTCGCATTTCAATTTGGAAATGCGGATACGTCTTAATTTTCCATATAAGGCAACAATATCGAGTTGTTATTATAATTTTAGTAATTAAGTTAAATTTTTAGTTTAAATTACAGGTTGCACACCAAACGAATTTCAAAATAATTTAAAAAATACACAATATGTAAAAAGAAAAAATTTAAGTCTTACATAAATTAGCTAATATTTTATTTCTTATTTTTCATATTGTCACTTTTCATTCATATTTCACAGTCATCACATCATCAAATAGTTTTACCATCATCTAAAGTTACAGTGTTAGTGAATAATGTTGAACAGTAAAATAGTTTTGAACATTTTTGAGAATGACATATTTCTTGAAATTAGGTATAGTAAGTATTTTTTGAAGACTGAATTTATTTATTAATTATAATAATCAATTCCTCCATCGACGCTACTTAAAAACTTTTTTTTGAAACGCAATGTAAGCAGATATGAATTCGCAATTATTTAAATCATAATGTTGCAAACTTTACTGAATCAAAGCATTCCACTTAAGAAGGGAAATAACACAAAATATTCTCTACGGCCAATACCGTAATAAAAAATTAAATATTGTCTGAAGTTTTTTATTTTTGTCCCAATTTTTGTTTTTACTCTGTATATTTGAGTATTTTAACACCTGCGAAATAATTAAATAAATTAACCCACGTACCAGTAGATTAGTTAAGTGCTGATTTTAGCCTAACAGTGAAAAACAAACAAAGAAAGTGGTGGATCTAAAAATTTACCTTAACAATAAGAATCGAAATGTTTATTAGGGCTGGCCTAGGGCTTCTGATACCGATTCCGCCCCCACAGAGCGTAGCACGAGAACAGTAAGGACAGCTCAAAGATTCCTAGCTAAGACTAAGAAAGTTCAAGGTAATTTTGTAACACAGCGACCACGTACATACGCTATGGATAGTAACCCGATAAAACACGGTATTTTAAAAATTATAAAAAAAATAGATGTGACTATATCATTAGCCTTAGTTGGGAATATTTGATCAGTCCTTATTGTTCTCGGGCTAGGCTCTGAGGGGACGGACCTTCTACCGGAGTCTTTAGTGGTTCATGTTGCTGGTTATAAGGCCGCTACGACTGCAGTCTCATTGCCCAAGAAACCATGATACTTTCAATATCTGCACAAGCCGTGAATGCCGGAGTATGCAAATAGGAAAATAATTGAACATCAATTTAAATAAATACGACCGTAAAAACGAATTTATGAGAAAAAAAATTATATATTTTTTTTATTGAAAATAATATTCGAACTTTTTTGTGATAGTATTTACTTGTTTAACTTTTATTTGGACTGAAACCTAATATTGCAAACACTTCTTTTTTACTGATCTAATTTTTAATTACCAATTCAGAAATTTGTAGTGTCATTTTAATCGAAGTACTCCGTCAAATAAAAACAGTACGGCCTGGAAAATTAAAACAATTGTTTTGTAAACAACAAATGACTACGATAGGTATTAAGAAGGTAATTTTTGGTATAAATATTTGATGAGGTGGTCCACCTTACAGGTAATAATTGTTTTTCAAAGCAGTTTCCAAATTTATAAAGCTGTATTTTATAAATTTTTTTTTTCCTGGTTATAACTATATAATTATGTATATTGCAGGATTCGTAATTAAAAATACTATCTAAAGCAAAATATACGGGATTGGCCAGAGTTTTTGGTCAAACCGAAAGTTAAACATATGAATGATTATCACCGAAAAATTTGTAATGTTATCCTATATCATTTGCTTCAAAAAATATAGTTTGTTTTTTCTTATAAAATTGTTTTTGCTGAAATGTAGTTCTTGAGTTAATGTTCAATTGTTTTTTAACTACTTTGTAATAAATAGTGAATTGTATTGTTGAAAAGTTAAACTATGAACATTTGTTATATTAATACTTATATCTTTATTTTTAAATAAAGCAATTAACTTTTGAGGTACAGACAATGGAAATGATTTTTACGTATTTTTGCAGTTGATAAAATACTCAAATAATGGTGGGTAAAATACATACTTACAATAATTTGTAAGAATATTTGAGATAAAAACAACAATTTATTACCCAGCATAGTGCCATTTGAACTTAGTAAGTAGTAAAATGTTTAATTATAGTAAATTAGTATGTCAGCTACTAAAATAGATTGTACTAATTCATGAATTATTACATTATGAGTCCCAAAGCCGCCAAATAATACTACCGCAAGGGAAAAAATGGCAAAGATAAAATCCTTATCTTTATTGCGGCATTATGCCCATAATAAATTATCCCCAGGAAACGTAATATCTTGGACACAAATGCTCGCCCCATCTTAAGCTTGAACCCATTACATATTCCCGTTTATCTATATTACAGATCTCCCGGCAGATGGCAGTACAAAACTACATCCAAGCCCCGGGTAACTATTCGGAAGCAAAACAACGACGAATTAGCCAGCAATAACGGCGATACGTTGGGCACGACGTCTTCGTCCCTGCAAGAAGCCTCCCAGCCTCAAATCAACGACGTCGTTACACCTCAGGCCAGATCCGACGACGTCGACAGTTTAGAAGGCTCTGAATCAATTGCTTCAATTATTGATGACGAGAGCTCCACGGAAAATAAACTCGATACTCCGGCCTTTCCCATAGAAACTATTAAAGTTGAAATTTCAACGCCCCCAGACTTAACAGATATCTACTACGAAATTGCCACAATCAAGACACCCTACACTTTCCAGGTAATGCAATAATAAAAAAAAAAGTTATTTTGAAACGGATAACGAGATCTCGTGATGATGCCGCTGATCCCTCGTCGTTATAAAATAACGAGAATTTTCTAGATAAAAAATATATAAATACAATTTTTCAAATGCCATTCCAGAGGCAGTTAACAATTGTTTCAGTTAATTTTGATTTTAGAAAAGTAGTATACCTCGAAAATGACCCATTTGAACCAAATGGAGTCAATTCTCATAATATACAGGGTGTCCCGAAATTCATGCAACAAAATTTGGTCACAGATTTTTAAGACAAATTTAGGGGACCCGTATTTTTTCTTTTTGCCAACTGGCCCCCTCTTTCGGAGTTACAGCCCCTTGAAATATGCCCCTAAGTATTCTTTTTTATATCTCAAAACCATGTTGTACGAGAATCACTAAATTTAGTACGTAGGGGTTTTATGACATGTGGAATCTCACAGTGCTACGCTTTTTGGCGAGGAACCCCCTTAAGACACTTTTTCGTGGGCTCCCTTGCCTTTGGAACCAAAAAAAATTGGTTGAAAATTTGATTTTTTAAAAATTAGTTAGAAAGCCATTGAATTTAGAAACTTTTGTCTCTTGATATTTTTTTCGTAAAACGCAATGTTTTTGGGGGAAATGGCGAATCACGATATACATTCGATCACATTTTGACATTTTTCTCGAAAACATTGCGGTTTACGAAAAAAGTATAAAGAGACACAAAGTTTCTAAATTTAATGGCTTTCTAGTGAACTCATTTTTAAGAAATTTAAATATGCGACCAAATTTTTTTGTATCCAAAGACAAGGGGGCCCACGAAAAATTGTCTTAAGGGGGTTCCCCACCAAAAAACGTAGCACCGTCTGATTTCTTATGTCATAAAAGTTCTGAGATATAAAAAAAGATTATTCTTAGGAGCGGACTTCAGGGGGCTGTAACTCCGAAAGAGGGGGCCACTTGACAAAATAAAAAATACGGGTCCCCTAAATTTGTCTTAAGAATCTGTGACCAAATTTTGTTGCATTAATTTCAAGACACCCTGTATAACATTTGTATATTGAATAAATTAAAAAAATGTAGGTCTTTGATTAAGAAAAGAAACGCAGCAGGAAATTCGACAAATATATGAAAAATAAACTATTTATTATGCACAAATTTTGTATAAGTTGTTTAAAACGTATGTCCAAACACTGCACTCTCATCTCAATCTCAATTGTATCGAAAATCTTTTCTAGAATAGAAGTTGAACAATAATACTTTGTTGTTCTCTAATTATCTAATTTAATCTCACTAATAATCAACATTTTTTGAAAATTAAAAAATGGGTAAGAAATAAAGTACATAAGTATAAAATAGCCAAAAGCATCTCTTAAAACTACTCCTTACCAACAGATTTGGACAATATTGCGTGACTGAATGCATTAAGACCAATTTTAAAACTTGACTAAAGGACTTTTAATCTTAAACTACATCATATCTAGCATATTCATTTAAAACATGTCTTTCTATTATCTATTTGGGAAAAAAGTTAAACCAAAAAAGTACACTTATTTTTTGACGACTATATCTGGAAATAATTTTTAGATAATTTAATACATACAGTGCCATTTAAGGTTACTTCCTTCCATTAGTGGACTTTTAGAGTTGGAATAGAGGGCTAAAAAACTAAGTCTTTTGTCAAATGACATATTCCTTGACGTCAAAGTCTGATATAACGCTTTTCACAATTCTTTGTTTCTGACTTAGTTTTTGACTTAAAAATTAGCTTCGCGTTTGGAATAAAACCATTTTCCCATCCAGCATCAGTTATAAATAAACAATATCCTTATGATACAGATTTCGGAGCCTTTTGCTGCTTTAAACACATCAAATGTTTTCATGGGTGTGCAAAGGATCTTATACGGCTCTTCCGTATTGGTAGACCTCACTGTGTTGTTTCATTCTATTTAAAAAATGTAGCTCAAGTCTTTGATATCATGATGTTCTATCAATAGCCGTTGGTTGGTCTTTATTTTGCTCCACCGAAATCCCAAGGTATGCAAAAGTTTACGCAAACTCTCCCTATCACCGAACTTTATGTGAGTACATCTAATTGTAGATGCTGTTTTTTCTTGAAGATATCAAGATATCAGTCTTTTGCAACCTATATAATCGAAGTCATCATCCACATTTACTTTTGGCTTTTTATGTTTATTGCAATATTTTTCCCATACCTTACAATATTTTTCACACTAGAGCCTAATGCCTTTGGAACTCTCTTGCACTTTTTCTAAAGAGATACGTGGTCATTTTGCGCTTCTTGTGTCATAAATTTAAATATAATTTGTATTTATGTACAATTTTACGAATTTGTGCACTTGACATTAGTGATTTGAATTCCATAGCTTATACGACTTTTTCTCGGACTGCACCAATTTTGATAATTCGGCGTTCTGACAGAGAATAAGTTCCGGTGCTAGTCTGGCAATGTTGCCATTGCGCATCTGAAATTCTCGAACCAGATGAATTTGGTCAAGCTGTATTCCTGGTTAAAGATACATAAATAGCTACATAATGCATATTAATTGCACCACAATGTATGATTTTGTGTTACAGGTTGGCAGCATGAAAAACACCCGATACATAACGGTGACCTCGACATTCGAGAAGAGCTTCGAGACCCCAGAGCCCACTTCGACGAAGAGAACGGAGCCCCTCACAGAAAACATCCTCGCCACTTCCAGCAATTACGCGAAGGATAACAATTACTTGGATTCGAGCATCGCGACCCTGCCTCCTATTTATCTCGCATCAGACATGGAAACCCCACCTCTGGAGACGCTCACAGAGACGTTCAGCACGACTCAGACAATGCTGAAGACACACATTTTGCCTGTCGTTCGCAACGGGAACGACACCACTAGTTCAACTTTAGTGCAAACGTACATAGTAACGAGGTAAGTCGGATAATGAGAGCTTGGTATTATTTCGCCTCTAATAAGCGCCAACTCGTACCTCGTTCCGTATTTACTTGTACTCTACACGGAATAAGGACGAGCGAAAAAAGGGCCTAAAGAATTTCAAGTTTACGGGTTTGATACTGTAGAAAGTATACAGTGTGATAATTGGGTGTAAATGATTTAATAGAAGTTTTATTAAACTAAAATAAATGAGCAAACCTAATATATTTCAGTAACAAGATTCTTTCCTAAAAAAGTATCCTTCAAGGTTTTTTTATTTTTCTAATAACTATTGCAGTGAAATTATTTTTCCAAGATATTTCAATTAAATTTAACACAGAAAAGATTTTGGAATATTACCTACAAACTTATTATTTATCTAAAGGGACCATTTCATCCTCTGCTACTTCCGTGTAGTTCTTCGTATAGGGTACTCTGAAAGATAATGTAAATAAAGGAAGTTCAAATAAAAACTACTACTCTACCAAAAATATTAACTTCCTTAATTTTTTTCTACGTCCTGTAATTTGACAGGAAATTCAAAAAAAAATTATACGAAATATTTAATCCAGTGTTTCCTCACACACTATTTTAGTCTAGGAAAGTTTCCAAGACATCAAAAGAAACGTATTTGGAGCTACCCGAAGCACTGGTAGTTCTTTGTAAAAAGGACTTACCACAATTTTACATCGGTTTTAGGTAGTGTTTGGATAGATATTATCACAGCATTATGGCGAATGTCGAAATTGACCTTTAGTTTGTTTCAGAATTTTATACGTTTTAATATCTTTCAAGATAGAACCCAAAATCAGAGTATGTCATAATGTTGCTGATGTGCTAAATATTGATGATTTATGTTTTTAATCAAATTTCGTATCTTCTAAAGCAGAGCTTTTATGTATTGAAGATTATTGTACTCTTAATATTTTTCTTCTTTTCAGAGTGGTGACAGCCAGTAAGACACTACCACCCATGGACGCATATAACTTCATACCCAGCAAGACCCTGAACGAATTCAACAGCCACTTAGACGAAGCCGGATCTGAACTCCACTTGGAACTTGAATTCGGCGACCAGAACGACCAGGAAGACGGCCAGTTAAAGAAAGTAGCCTTCCAAGACCTAGACCTGGCAAATATCGGTTCCGACTTTGACTTGTCGGACGTAGATAAGTCCAAACTTGAGGGTCACTTACGTCTGAAGAAGGCGCACGCTCCACAAAAACCTACAGCGAACGAACTGGTTACTCCAGCCTTAAATCCAGATCAGCTTCAGCAGTTAGCTTTGCTGAGACTGTTAAACCCTGCAGCAGCCCAAGGCCAAGTAATCACCACCTCAAAACCAGTACTTAAAGTAGAGACAGTGTATGAAACGCACGTCCTACCTGTTACCCAAGGCCAAAATACAATCCTCAGTACCATTTCCAAAATCAAAGGCACGTTCACCAAGACAGACTTCGAGTTTGGTACAAGTACCATTGCTCCTGCCCTACCCATTCCTCCTCTTGTGCCACAGATCCCACAGTTGCCACAGATACCGCAGATACCACAGATACCACAGCTGAATCCATTCCTACCCCAAGCTCAACCACAATTTGCTGTAACGTCGTCACCAGTTACCCAGAGCACTGTGATTACTCAAACAAACAGCAAGGTGCTCAAATTAACCTTTGGAGCCAAGACAGCTCAAACTACTGTCTTCTCCACGACAGTAGTGCCCACTGTTCTGACGTCATACGTGACTGCTTCTGTACCTGTAGCGCCGACTGCTGCCGCCTTTCCTGGATACTATCCTCAACCGTTCCCCGCAGGATATCCGTACGTAGGTTGAAGCGTAGGTAGAAATTATATTTATTTATTAACGGACTAGTGCAGCTTGAGTAACCCGGACTAAATTCTAGTGAATTATAGTGATATGGAACACTTGGATAAGTGATGTTTGATAAACGCGAACTGCATTTACATCGTAAATAGGTAGTGACCTTTCAATCATGTATTGTATATAAACATAAATCATTTTTTTACGAATCATCGAAGAGTTGGATCTACTCTTAGTTTGTATAGTTAGATTTAGTGATATTTTGTACTGATTCATTATTTATATTGTTATACTGTAATAGTCACTTACATGTAAAAATTTCGTTTTGTATATTTTGTAAAAATATTTTCGTGCAATAATGTATTCATCATAAGATTAATTTAATAAAAAATATTATTGTAGAAACAATTTGTTTTCATTCTCAACGAAAATACAAATATTAATAATTCCGCTACCCCTCATTCTAATTACAAGGACTAGTACAGAAGTCGGAGACTTATGCGGGAACTGGCACACTATTATTCAGTAGGCCACATGTGCGCCCAGGAACGACTTACATTGGTAAACCTTAATCAAAATTCAGTGCAGGAATAAGGGAAACCTGGAATATCTCATTAATTTGGGGAGTGGTCAAACACCGACCGGTATGAATCTCTCACATGTTCTTCCACCCTACCATACCTGCTACGAATGTAGCTAATCTATGGTGATACAACCAAGGGATCGAACCCGCGACAGTGGCATTCATCGATTCAAGTACTGACGTTTAAAACCGCTCGACCACCGACAGACCCAAAATGCAAATTATAGATTGACTTAAATTTCATTTATCACCACAGATAAATATTTTATAAGAAAAGAACAAAAAGAAAATTCTTGGGAACACAAAGAAATCAACCAAGCTGCAAAGATAAATCTAAACTTAATAATAATAATAATAATAGTAATAATAATAATAATTGTCTTTATTACACAACATTTGTACAAAAGAAAAATTAATTAAATAGTGGCGGCGTTCGATCGCTCGCTCTTCCACGCAACCACAGGAAGAGAAAAAAAATAATTACAAAAATTTACAAAGAACATTAGAAATATAAAATTAATAATTTATCAAGTTTATAATTTTTTTTTTTGACTCTTTGTGTGTTTATAGATTATAATAAATACGAGCAAAAATAGTATGGTAAACCATGAAAAAGGGCATGAAAAACTTAAAAAACTGGACAGAGGGACAGAAGTAATTAATTAAAAGACACATATTACTATATACGAGTATGTGCACGCCTATAAATTTCTTCGTGATACGAGGAGCTGCTTCATCTGTCTATGGAACGACAAAATACTTGATGCTCCTTTTATATTGTTAGGAATTCTGTTAAATATCTTCACAGCGTTATACGAAAAAGAACCTTGAAATTAAGCAATTTGTGTTCTGGAACAGATGTCGGTATCGGGTGAACGGTTGTGTACTTCACTGCCTTTTACTAGTTTGTTGCACAGATAAACAGGGGATTTAAAAGTTTCAGTTTTATAAACTATGCAATACAAATATAGCTCATACCTTTCTTTTAAATATAACCATCTAGATTCCAAAAACTACTTGAGTTATATGATCAAATTTTTTTAAGCCAAAGCAATATCTCATGCAACTGTTCTGTATTTTCTGCAAGGTTTATATTTATCTGATTCTAATAGACAAGGCCAAAAAATACTATCACAGTAATGTACTAGAGACAAAATTAGGGAATCACATAACCTTAGTTTGAGTGAACCTTTATTAATATTAAGCAGTTTTAATTTCCCGTACGATTTTTGTACTAAATAATTTACATGCTTTTGAAATCTTAAGTTAACATCAAAATATACTCCAAGGTTTTTGCATTCTTCTTTGGGCTTAATTACTTCACAATTAATAGAAATTTGAAAGTCAGGATGCAGGGTTACTAGTTCCCTATTCTTTCTGAATACTAGCAATTCCGTTTTGGCGTCATTCAAAATAAGTTTATGAGCAGTACATAGCCGTGAAAATTTACGCGAGTCTGACTTTATTTCATCAATGGGTATATTAATATTACTATGTGGAAATGAATAATATACCTGTCATCAGCATACTGGTGAATTTTGCAACTGGACAGGTATGTAGAAAAGTCTGCAGCGTAGACTGAAAATAATAAAGGGCCCAATACACAACCCTGAGGAACTCCTTTATTTGTGACCCTGAAATCTGATTTACCACAACGCAACACCTTTTGACGCGTGTTGCATAAATATTTTTTAAAGAATAATTGGGGAATATCTCCAAGACCAAAATATTTAAGTTTTTTTAAAGAGAATATTATGATCCAACGTATCAAAGGCCTTGCTTAAATCTAAAAGAATCTGTGACATCTAAAAGGGCTGTAGTTGTGCTATGGTTAGCGTTAAATCTCGATTGATGCAATGGTAATGATTTGCAGTAAAATAAAAATTAAGTTGCTCACATACGATTTTCTCTAAAACTGCAAAGCAAGTGTAGGTATTAAATTGATAGGTCTAAAATCAGACAGGCTTGTAGGATTTGTGATTTTAGGAACAGGACATATATAAGCGTCTTTCCAAATATTGGGAAATTCTTTTGAAGTGAGACATTTATTTATAATAAAGGTGAAATACTCAATTATTTGTGGAAATTTAGTCTAAGGTTTTTTATTCATTCCGTCTGCACCTGTAGCATTAGATTTCAATTTTCTTAAAACCGAATTAATTTTCTCAGCGTTGACCCCAGTAAATTCAAACAGCTGATCATTATTGCTGCATACATGATCATACTTATCTAAAATTTTCACTATATCTGGATCCAATGAAACAGGTACATTAGGTAGGTATAGAATCTATAAAAAAAATCATTTACAACATTGGGGTCTTCGTTACTAATCAAAAACTTTTGGGATCAGTTTTTAATTTATATTTAAAAAAGCCTTTTTTCTGCTTTGACGGATCTATTTAGGTACTAAATTGCGCAGCTCCTTATATTCTTCCCACCCCTGTGCAGTCCTATTTTGTTCATATCGAGTAAAAGCCCTGTTCCTCAGTTTCATAATTTTTTTTAAGATTACTTGCTAGCAAAGGAGCTGGAGGTTTAGTGAACCTAGATGTTTTATAATATATACTTATCAAGTAGTATATTAGTTAGTAATTAACATTAAGAAGTTTACCATTTCACTAGACGTATCGAATGTGTATATAGTATCCCACCTTACTGCTATCAAATCTAATAAGAAAATGTCGTAAAAAAAATTAGAGAAATCTCTATAGGTTCGTACAACAAGAGATATTTTGTCTCTTTAGAGTTTGATATTACACGTCACTATTGCATGATCCGATATGCCACACGCATTTTCCATAATCATATTAATGTCATTTACAATAACTAAATCGATTAATGTAGAAGAATTTTCGGTAATACGAGTTGGCTCGGTTATTAATTGATGTAGGCTATATTTATCTAAAAGACTTTAAAAGTTATCAGAACTTTATTATTCGATATTTTAACTGAACGGTCTGATTCTTGAAATATTTTTTACTAGATTTCTGAGAACCAGATATGATACCAAAGCTTACTATGAACTTTTCTCGTAAGATTAACAAGCAAAGTTTTATTAGATCCGATGCAAATGACTATGACTGCAATAGTACAAAAAACTTTAACCATTTAGGAAATATTTCGATAAAGTTTGGACATATTGAAAACTAACCCTCGGGCTAATCCCTTTTCCGTCAGGATTCGGATTGAAACTCAAAGTTACTTGCTAGTTTAATGTTTAAAGTTCCTTTTTTATTTCCCTCGGAATGGTTGTGGCATTGATAGGAAGTCTTCTTATCGAGTAAATTACTGTTATCTAGTGCCGCTTTCTAAAGAAGACATTTTAAGGAAACTGATATTTTCTAATAAGTATCAATTGCATGATAATGTAGGTAAAACACAAGATGTTACTAAAGTACATGTAAACAGTTAAGTCTTCCTCACGGCTTAATTTTTTTTAGTAGCGTTATTAGCGTTAGTAATCACAATTATATGTACGTATATTTTAACGGATGCCTTACACTGGGAAAACAGTAGAAGATATTCAGAAAAATAAAATATCTCAAAACAATGTGGTATGGGAAAATACTAATTCCCGCGAGCATTTACAGTGGGTCCTAGATTGTTTTTTTTTTACAAAGCGAATTTTAAACGTGCCTAAACACCCTCTGTTTACAAACTTGAAGATATTTTTAATGGTAGGTCGAATGCATTTTCAGTAATCAAAATCATTGAAATTGTAAACTGGAGCATTAGATTAATATGTACATATGGGTCGATGAAAATCCTCACGCGATTAGGGAAACTTATTTTCAACATCGTTTCTCGGTAAATGTTTGGGCTGGTATAATAGGCGATGTACTTGTGGGTCCCTATTTCTTTAAAGGACGACTAAATGGACCAACATAATATGCTGACATTTTGGAGAACCGGTTGCCTGAATTATTGGAAGATGTGGCATTACAAGTTCGGGCACGCATGTTTTATTTTCAAGATGAGGCTCTTCCACACAGTACTCGAGAAGTACGACACTTTTGAATGAAATGTTTCCTCAGCGATGGATTGGACACTTTGGTACTGTGGCGTAGCCACATCGTTCACCCTATTTAACTCCAATGGACTTTTATTTTTGGAGTCACTTGAAGTCAATGGCTTACAATACTCCAATTGCTACAGTGGAAGAATTGCGAAACCGTATACTTGAAGCTGCTGACACGATTAGGGGAATACGTGGAATTTGGGAAAATATTCGCCAAATTTGGGTGCGTCGGTGCCGTGCCTGTATCCGCGCTAATGGGAGTCCATTTCAACATTTTCTCTAGAAATGGTAAGTTTTATTTCATTTTGTTCCATATTTTAATGAAGTTTGTTTAGTGCACACAGTTGGCAACTATACAGATGATTACGTGGTTATGTAGTTTTGTTTGCGAACTCTTGCAGTAACAACAATGCATTTAAGATAGTAATTACAATTAATTATTATAATAAGAAAATATCAGTTTTCTTAGTTTGTACTTTTGCACTGAAAAAATCTCCAAAAATTGAGAAGTATCCTTCTATATTTCGACGATTTTTTACGCAGCACGTAACTCATCGTACCCCCCTCCTGGGAGCTGTATGACCTTGTCGTTGGTGGAGGGGCTTAAGTAGCTACAGTGAACCCAAGAGCTAAACCGGCGGGAGTTTTATACTCCTGGTAGGGTCACCCAAGCCGGAAAGGTCGAGGGAGAGTAGTGAAAACTAAGAAACAGCTCAGCTACCCAAGCCAAGGTGGAAACGCATCGTGCCGAGGGCTGAATGGTGCGGGGGTAGGTAAAAATGTCG